TTTTTGTGCGCTTGAAACAAGTCTACTGCTTTATATTGTAAAATTTTAATGTACATCCGTATTTTCCATAAAATACTTATAGATCTTTGTTGGATTTTTCTTNATTAAATTCCTCATAAAATATTTTAACTTGTTCAAAAAAATTTCCGCGGAAATTAGCGGAAAAAATGGAAAAATCTAAAAAAAAAGCGGAAATCCGCGGAAGAATCTCATCCCTGTTGTTGGATTTTTCTTTTATAAATTTTTTTTTTCCTCATTCTCTTTTTTTTTTTTACTTGATGAAATTGGAATAGGCAATGGCTTGGGACAGATAAGTCTGCTCACTGATGGTTTCAGTAAATTCTATATAAGTTATTTGGTTAGATTAAAATGTTTAATTTATTGTAAAAGTTATTTTTCTAATTTAATACAATATTCATTTCCATTTCACAAGTTGTTTCTATATCCAGGATATATATTGATTCGTTTATATTTAAAATATACATAATTTTAAAGTACCACTAAACACTTTCTTAATGCTACACGTTTTTAAATCATTGTGAAGCACGACTTAAATTCATCAATACTAGTTTAACAAGAGTTCCAATTTTTATACTATTTTGGGCCTTATTGAATCGTAATAAAGCATCAGCTGTTATACATGTTAAAGGGCCTTATAATCTATATATCCGTGCATAAATTCAGTTAGCCTAACAAAACATTTTCGGTTTTGCGATGCTTTTGTTTACATTCTGTGCACGCAGGTTCACAAAAAAATTCAAATCTTTCCATAACACCAGACTGTCGCAGACTTAGTGGCGGTCAGAGTACCTATCTTAGACAAACAGTAAATCCTACACATGCATTAAAAGTGATACACGTATATAAGCATGATGAAAAAAAAGAACAGTGTTCAATATTCTAAAATGTATAGAATAATAAAATTTGAGTTAAAGAATTTGAGAAAAATTGGATTTGAAGCTTTCCACTTTAAAAACTAGCTTCAAGCTTCCCTATCAGACCATATATGCCTCACTCAATGGACCGAAAAAATGCATTATTTTTACAGTTTACAACAACCATTTTGGAATTGCAGCAATTACTTCACTACTTTAATGAGACAAACTTACTAATGTAAGGAAATAATTATGAAATATTTTTTCATGTTGACATGAGCCTGTTAGTTACCTCCAATAAATTTCTTTTCGAAATAATTCCTTTAACCTTCAACTTTTTGCGACCTTTTCAACAGCGAATATTTAATTTAAGAAATGCGAAATTATCAAATACTTGCAATTTCTTTGTATTGTCATTTATTTCAACTTAAGAAATTATATACATCAAAAATACGTTCCCTTCCTTTGAAATATCCATATTTTTCGAGTGTACAATCTCAAGTATGACCGAAGTGATCATCAATTTTTCGTAATGGTTAGTTTGAATATTGGTCATATGTGATTCTAAATACGTAATTCCTGTTAACGAATGTCATTTTTAAGCATTCATTAATGAACCCATGACGATTTGTACCTATCAAATTCAAAAAATGAAGCATTGTTGAAAACCTTGTTTTTTTACTAAACTAACGTTAAAAGTACTTTCCAGGAATAGCTACACTACTAACTACAAAAAAAAAAGTAGCGACTACAATAGTTTCACCACTAGTCTCACCTAATATATTCTCAGTCAATGCCATTTCTGCTCCAGTTGAAACTCAACAAAGAAAATGGTTCCAGGAAAAATGTTTTTGCAAGATTAGTTTACAAAAGAATTTACAAAAGAAAGTTAAAAAAAAAAAAAAATTTCAGTGGAGTTTACTTATAAATTCAGTATTAATTACAATATATGTAAAGATAGTCTCGGTAAGAATTTTCTACGTGCAAAATTTATAGAAATTAATATTTTCCTTGATATAAAATTTTGTCTTTAAATAATTCCATGCTCTGTAGAAATCAGAGGTCTTAGTTCTAATTTGTTAAATCTAAAAAAAAAAAATAAAAAAAAAACCCATCAAATTGTCTAAAATTTCTTGGCAAATTCCACTGAAATCCCACGCTCTTGCATAATTGAAAAAGAGTTATTACGTTATTACTTTAACTATTTCAGTTCATAATTTAAAACCCACAAGTTAGAAGGATTTCCATCAGAACCAGACTTTATTTTAACATCCTCAGAGTGATATTAAAGCTTAAACAATAGAGCTATGGCAAATAAACTGGTTTTGATACCTTTAATTTCTATTCCGTGATTGTCCTCGATAAGATTTGGACAAATTTTGAGAGTATAAATTTTTCAGTCTGTAAAATTTAGATTCAAAACGTATCCACATCCTTTATCACAAATAATTTAAAAGGGAAAAATTATATACTGCACACACTTAAATAAGGGTAGCAATTTTTCAATAAATTATAATGGATCCAAGGCGACCTGAAAGAAAAGGCACTCAGTCGGAGGAACTTTGAATGGTAGTGCAAGAGAATTAGACTTCTGCACGTCTTTTGCATCCGCAATGTGCAGCCAGCCTTAGAAACTAGATACATACAAAAATATGAGAAGCTACAAGCACGAGTATTCAACAGAATGAAATGGAGAATGTTAATCATGGACCATTTGTCGTACTCATAGCTGCAAACAAGGTTAAGAAAAAATCCAGCAGATATTACGAAATACTATAAATTTCATGATAATTGCTGTCTAATGTATTAAATATTATACACATAAGGAATTAATTTAAGGGATTTTTATAGTCACTAAAATAAAAACCTGCAATATTTTCCAGTTATTGACATCAAATGAACTTAATAAATATGTATATAAATCTTAATTAAAAGAAGACATTTTTAAACTATTAACAATCAACATAGTGCAGTACTTGCAACAGCACTAAGAGAAATATTTTTGCCACCAGCGGATATTCTTTCAGCAAAATTTCTTTAAAAAAATTGTCTTCATCATATATGGGTAAACAGGAATAAAATACAGGAATCTTTGTTATAAAACAGGGGACTTGGCAGGAATGGTATTATGTCAGCTTATAATTTTGAATAGTAATAGGCATTTAATTCATTAAAGATAGTTAAAAGATCTTTTAATTAATTTAAAAAGGGAGTTTTGAATAAAATAAAGTGAACATTTTTGAAAAAAAAAAGTTTTAAACTGATTACTATAAATGAAGCTAGCTTCATTATGTATTAGTAATACTTCTTTAAATATTCAAGTAAGCAATAATCTGTGCAAAATTTCTATTTAAATAGGAATTTTTTTTTAGAAAACTTCACAATTTCAGGGAATTTCTTAAAATGCACAAAAACCATAATTTTTATTAAACCAGTAGAGTTGGCAGCTATGTGTACAGTATGTGAAAAATCTGTGTTTGTGAATGAGAATCTAGATTGTTAAATATATTGACCTGAGGAATCTACAGAAATTACCCTAAGTAAATTTTGGAAGCCTTTCACAGTGAGCAAAAAAAGGATCAACCTGATTAATCTCTGATCTAATGATAGGATCTTCATGTTCTAGGACTTTAAGGGAGTAGCCTTCAAATATGCCATATAATTAGTGAAGACGATTTGCCATACACGGAGAACTTTTAAGCGAATCGAAAATTTTTTGTACAGAATTATGAAATTTGTTCATCCAGTGACAATACCACGCAAAAAATAACTTTTAGTAAATATTGACTGTCAATTTTTTTTCTTTTTAAACTGTAAGGTTTAGAATTTTTTACATTGATTTCATAGAATGTAATTCTACATGGCAAAATACAAAATTGGTTGAAAAGTTTCTGAGAAATCGAATTTTAAAAATATGACTTTTTTAGCTATCAGATTTGAAAACAAGCTAATAATTTGAATAATTTATCAGTTTGCAGACACTTATCCAATGGAAGAAAAAGGTTAATATGCTTATATTTAACTGGGAAATAATTATTTCCTTTGTTTGAAAAATTAATTTGAGATGTAACTGGTTTACTTGGCCAGATTTTCATTGTCAAGTGGTTACAGGAAAATTAATTGTAGGAAATTGCAGTATATGTGTATTAATCTCATACTAAATTTGCTTTCAGCAAATGGGTTAATGAAATATGTGTTTACTATTTTGGGTGTGTAGACTTAGTATTTGTTGAAGTACAGTCGTTTAACAGTTAATACACATAATAGTTGCATATGTTTAAGAGACAATAAGATATGAATATTTTCTTATAAATAATTTATAATTCTATATAGCTATTCAAAAACTGAGGCTGATTAATTAATTTAAACATCAATTTCCCAGCAAATAAAAGTATATGCTAAAATCAATAAAATAGTTATAAAAAATTTAATAAAATAAATATAAAAAAAAATAGTTATAAGGTAAATTTTTTTTTTTCATAGACTCTTCTTAAAAGAATTTATCCACGGATTAATCATGGGAGGTTTATGAAGGTATTTATCCATGTAATACAAATACATTTTAGTCTCAGATATTTTATCATGAAAACAAACAGTTGCTTTTATTATTTTTTTTTTTGGTTGCTTGATCTAAGAATTACTTAATCTTTGGAGGGGGGGGGGATGAATTCTACATATTGCTGACCCTACTATCACTAAAACCCACTCAAACGCTCAAGAGATCATACAAAGGGGGATATCATTACATATAAATTACGCTTTTAGTTACAAATTGATTTAAAATCAAACCACTGAGAGTTAAGAGGCGTTTCTTTAAACATAGCATTGTTAAATACGTTTCATACCAGCTAGACTAATAAATGCTATTGAAATTTAAATTATAATGTCTACCACCATTGTGTATCTAAACTGAAATTAATAAACAGAATGATTCGTCCTATTATTATAGCTTAAAAGAAAAAATAAAGCCTGTTAATTTACCTTAACGGAATCATGTGTTTCTTTATTATTTTTTGCAAAAGAGAGTTTATATTGACCATTACTCTGTATATATTATATACATTATATGTAGATCTTTTAATCTATTTAAATGCCCACTTAAATATTTCCAAAGTAAAAACACAATTTAAGATAAGAAATACTTTTAATTAACACTGTTTAATTGTAAGAGAAAGCACACCTTTTATCAAAAACATTAAACAAACTAAAAGAAAGCATGCTAGAATGAAGCTGACTTAATTATAAAAACAATTTAAAAGGGAAATATCTCCATAAAAAACTTAAATCTATGATAATGTTAGCTTTGTAATGTACAACTCACAGCCAGAAATAATGGGCATTAGTTACATTTAGAGCATTAACATTCATAAAATCAAATAAGCAGTCCACAGAGTATTTATTTTAAGATGAATTCCAAATTATAAATTTCTAATAATATTTAATCAGTTTTCCAAAGTAGAGTAACTCGTAAAAATTCTTCTGCCTCTGTATCAAAAATACAAAGGCAATCAGGTTATGATTAATCATATTCTATAATAACAGCATATGACTTCTTTCATAGGTACACTAAAACGCATGATTTATTTGAATGAAGCTTTCAGATTGTCAATCCTAAATATATTTATACTTTCGAAAAAGAGGAAGAAATTAAAAATTTATCTCCATATTTTTAATTTTACAGTCTATAATAAACATAAGATTAATTATACCCCACACACAGTGAATAAATTAACATAGTATGTACAAATGCAAATTCACTTCATTCAGCACTTAATATTTCAGTTTTTAAATAGCCAATAACCTACATATGAAATAAATGAAACAAAGTAATTAAAATAAATAGACCTGATTATAACAAAAGGCCTTTAATTCAACACAACAAAGGAAGAAAAAAAAGGTGAAATAAGGCTATACATAACATAGAGACTGCTATCACAGGACATAGCACACTATACAGCTAACTTTCCAATAAAAAAAAAAAGGTTCCTTTTTTTGTGTCGAGAAGAAATAGTACATTATATATAGATAGGTACAATACTATTATACAGAATATATTTCCCACACGACAAGCGTGTTGTGTGCATGCCTTGAAAAATTTGGAAAATGAGAGTATAAATATAATGGACGATGCACATAAATTATCCGTTTCTTCACAGTCTACGATATAATAATCCCAGAAGATAAAAGTCTGTTTTCTCCTCATAAGGTATAATTTCAAACTAAAACTTCAGATTTATTGATGTGCACACTGAACACCAGGGCCACGATGTCTGTCCTCGTCATCTGAATCGTAAGCTTCAGAGCGACTGCTGCCAGCCCCTCTATGGGCGTCAGGGTCATAGTCGTGTAAGTCAGCTTCTTCAACATTATCGCCAGTAGGCATTTCAAAAGGAGGTCTTGGAGGTAAGAGAAGCTCAAGGGCCTGTAAAATAAAATGCTTTTAGTCAATATATAGTGAATTCGTAACAGTATTCTTATGACTACAAGATTAAGTTTTGCCTAACCTCTATTGTAAATTACTATCTATTGTACTCTAACCTAATTAGCCAGTACCCCCATTGTTATTTTGAAAATACACTGGATATGTTGTACCTTTAAATATGATGGAAAAATGAAGTACCTGTTCATTATGGAACATTTAAGACTCCTAAAACTTTGCGGATTTGAACTTTACTTTATAAATTAAGTTTATGTATTATTATAGAACATAAAAAACTTTCATATATCAATGCCACCACATAGGTGGCATGGTACTTTTACTTTGCTCAATGAGCAAAGCCAAGTTTGCTCAATGTCTTTGCTCAATGCCTACAAATGGAAGTAAAAATCAATAAATTATTGTTGTCTTATTTACAATTAACTTAAAATATAAAATTAAATATTATGTTAAATTTAATATATTAAAATGACAGTACATATTGGCTGGTGAAGTCAACTTAGATTAAGGGTTAAGTGTCTAAAATATATAAAATCTAGCATACTTCACATCCAATTACTTAATTATTATATAAGAGATAAATTCGTACATTTGACAAAACAAACAAGAGGAGCATTAAACATTCCACTTAGTAAATACACTGCTGGAAAAAAAAAATCCAAACACCAAGGAAGATTTGTGCTAGATAAACTAAACCTGGTAGTCTTGTTAATACAATTAAAAGAAGTCAATTCAAATTTCACGCTTAGCACATACGCAGTCCAACGGTCACACAGCACTACTCAGGGGGAAGACCGCTGTGTGGCAGTCACGCATTGCACCGTGTCTGTATCAGAAATTCGATCTGCAGCTGGCGTTGCAGTGACACAACAAACTGTTACAAATCGGCTACTTCAAATACAGCTCCGAGTGAGACACCCCGTAGCTTGCATTCCACTAACTCAAAACCACTGCGGTTTACAACGTGAGTGGTGTCAAGTTAGAGCTCACTGGAGGACAGAGTGGAGAACTCTTGTGGAGGCAGGTGAGCACCTGCTACAGACCTGTCTGCAGCCCAGCCACACTAGACCTACACCCGGAGTTACGGTTCGAAGAGCAATTTCCAATGACAGCAAGAGTAGTCTCACAGTTATTCAACACAACTTGACTGCAAACATGTGCGTCAACCTGATTTGTGGCTATTCAAAAGCAGCACTTAAGGGGGGTACTTTCCAACAGGATATTGCTCGCCCTCGTGCTGCTGCTGCAACCCAACATGCAACGTCGACATGTTGCCTTGGCCTGCTAGATCTTTAACCAATTTAGCAGGTATGGGACATCATTGGACACAATCAGCATAATTAACAACCAGCGTTAACCATCCCCGAATTGACTGACCAAGTGCAGCAGACATGGAACTCTACCCCACAAAATGACAGACAGTATCTGTATGATCAATGCCTTCAAAATTCTGCTGGTTATAAATGAATCACTATTTTACAGTTGAAATTGTTTTTCTCTTAATTGCATAACCTATAACCTTGAAACTTTAATAAATTGAATATGTTACTCAGACAAACACATATCTGAAATTTCATTACTTTACAGTAACTTTTTCTTGGTGGTCAGATCTCTTTTCCATCAATGTAGAAAAATTATGAATGAATACATGAAAAAAAAAATAGATTTTTCTTTTCAAGAAATTTAATTAAAATTCTTTTAATGAACACAAAATACACTTTATGATAGTTGTTAAAATTACCTTGATTTTGGAAATATCAGCAAAATGATTATCAGGAAAAGTAACAGAAAACTTTATGTAAAGGTTTCCTTTTTCGAATGGATTTCTGTAGATAGGCATTCCTTCATTCACCACTCCTTTGACACTACCTGAAAGAAACAAAGCAGACACATTAAATATGCTGAACTATTTTTAATTATTGTATTTCTTTTATTGTTTTTAATACCCAAAAAGCAGAAGTTTATTACAGTGAGCAATTTAACAATTAGTACTACAGAGGCATATACTTTAGAACAGACTAAAATTTGTTAATCTAAATCATCTTTTATCTCAAAAAAATAAATAAATAAGATTAATTGGAAACAAATTTTTTAAAGCTTTATATTTAAATGAATATAAAATTTTTGTATTAAGAATTTAAATATAAAAGTAGAAGAAAAAAACATGGGTAGCAGCACAATTTTTTTTTAATTTTAGAAGTAAAATAAGATTTTGTCAGGATATAATAGGTTACACTGTAGTTTATTACATAATAACAGAAGATTATTTTTATCCGTACATATTTACATCTCAAAAGAGATTGTGAGTAAAAGTGAACAGTTTCAATTTTATACATTACCTTTCTAAAGTGCATAATCCTCAGATTAAAAACTAGAATGAATCGAAGAAAAGAAAATGCACACTAAAAAAATTTCAAAAACCAAAGGAATTAAAAAAATTTTTTATGGAAAAATAGTGATCTAAGTAACTAAAAAAAAATAAAAATGAAACTATAGCAAAAATTATTCAGCACTAAGAAAATATAACTTATAACACACTAATTGAGTCAGTAGTTTCGATTTTTTTTACAAAGAACAATTTCTGCATTAACAAATATAGAATCAAATTGATTAACATTGCCTTTCTCTATAATATACAGAAATTGTATCCAATAATACTAAAAGAAAGGTATTTCATAACTATTTGCCATTGTTAATTGTAAAATAGGGTTAAAAAATCAAGATAAGGAATCTGAAAAACAATTCTGCTGTATTAGCCCATTGTACAACATGTTTCAATAAAAACTGTGCAGTACCTTCTCTCATTTCCTCCATACATTCAAAATACACATCATTGACAAACTTATCAAAGCTTATTTTAATAACTTCAAAGGAACAATACAAAAACCACGCAATTACAGTTATTAACGGCAAAAATAGAGATAATAAAGGGGAAAAAAACTCATTTTGGAAAAGGGGAAATTAAGTACTTAAGACAATCTATCTTTAAGGCAAAGTAGTAAAAGTTGGTGCATCTATTAACCTAATAGGACATACATTGTTACAGTGAATATTAAGATAGGCTATCAATCTTTAAATTCTAAGTTGATCAGCATGCATTACATTCATATAAATGGTGAGATGGCATTTTAAACTTCATTCACATCTAAATGACAAAACTTCAGATTAAAATAGAGTCAAATATGTAAATTTGAAAGTATATGAACAGCTGTATACATCAAATCTACAATAATTCAAAAGTGCATCACATATATACCATGCAAAACACTGATTCATTAAATCCAGTCCTGCCAACTTCAGAAATTAAAATTTTGGTACCTTTGACAAAGACACAGAAGAATAAGCAAACAAAAATTAAATCTAGTTAGGCGATCCCTTTACCCCCAAAAATTAGTGACTAATATAACATCTTTGAAAACTTTAAATAATTTTTCGTTTTGATTTCTCAACCAACAAATTCTCATAAGTTTGTTTTGACAAGAAAACACAAAAAGTTAAGATTCCTTTATTGCTGTAAAGATGGCCCAGTTATTAATTTATTAGCTACTAACTTCAGATGATTTTTTATAGATCCCACCAAAAGAAGAAACTCGAACTAGCTATTTTAACCAGAGTTAGGGCATCATTCTAAACAGAAATCATTGATACACCCTTTACTAAAAACGTTATACTTCTTTTTAAAATTATTAAAGAGTTCAATTAGTTTTGGGGCTGTATGCAAAGTGTGCCAGGGTTCTCCAATTCATAGTTACTTGGGAAAAAAAAAAAAGCCTGAAAAATATTTTGTTAGTCTGAGGTCTGAAATAGGACAAAAAAAGCCTGAGCTGACAGGTCTATACTTAAAAAAAAAAAAAAAAAAAAGACATTTCCACTCTACCAAATAAAGGATGTCTCATGAATAAGATATGAATGAACATTACGCAAAACATTACATCAGGCAATCTGTGAGGCTTGTAAATACAGATGAGTTAATTTATTACCTGGTTCGATTACTTCAGCAGGAGCATGACGAACCACAATGTCTCTTCCATCCAGATGTTTTATAACCATGGAAAATCCACATAAAGCTTCAACGAGAGTTAGCGTGTAAGGCATAAATAAATCATGGCCAGACCTTTCAAACAAAGTGTGAGGCAACTGCTGAAGAACTATAATGACATCTCCAGGTTCAACCCCAGGCTAGAAAGGAATACAAATCTTAGAATTCTCAAAATTAATATATACATACATATTAAATCAAACACACACACACACACTTAATAATAACAGTTAAGAGAATAATGAATTTGAAAATTAAATAAATACCATTTGATTGCCATCTCCTCTAAAGTATATTTTCTGTCCGTCTTGCATACCCTTGTCAACGTGCACTTCGAGACGTTTTGTCTCCTGAACTATTTTCTTTCCTTTGCACACTTTACATCGGTCTCTTTCATTTAATACTTCTCCTAATCACAGAAAAGAGAAAATTTTTTTTATTCACAATCAATAGAACTCTAGAGACACAGAAATATCAATCTATGCAGCATTAAAATCATTTTCTTTAAGACAAAACATCCTTGTCAAAAATGGATCTTATATGACAGACAATATAATTTTAAAATAGACCTACAGGACATTTTTTGGCAAATAAATATTGACAAATTCAGAGGAGTTTGGTAAATGTATAAGGAGGGGTCTGTCTAGATTTTTCTGAGAGGTACCTATTTTGTGAAAATTAAAAATTATATGAAAAAAATCAACACAAAATAAAAGAATTTTAAGAAAAAGTATTTTGTGAAACTACTGTTTTTCCTAAAGTTGAATTTGTGAAGGTACTGCTAAACGGTAGTAAATTTGGCCCATACAGACCCCTGATAAGCATATAAATATTTAGATTAATTTTGTGAATTAGATTAATTTTAGAATTATAGCAATAAAAAATAAAATATATAAGTTTGAAACCTCAGCAAAATGTGGGCCAGCTTTATGTGAATTAAAAGCAAGGAACTAACAAAAACATGTTAAAAATAATCATTTAAAAAAGAATAACGTTTTCATAGAAATCTAATTAAAATGTTAAGACAGTACTTCATAAAAATCATTCAAGTAAAACACCAATTATAACATTTCAATCAGAATACGAATAACTCAGTTGATAACAAACAAACATTTGGATAACAAAAAAAATCGAAAATTTTCTATAGTTGTGGAAATATTTTTTCTTGTTGCAATAACAGAGACAATATCCTGCATAGAAATACAAAGTGAGATATTCAATCAATAACTCGTAAGCTAGCTTTAAGCTTTACAAACACTAAATAAGCTTTAATATACTCCACTATACAAAGATAAAAAATTTGAGCCCCAAAAAATGTGGGGATAGCAAAAATAAAGCTATCCTACATATAAAAAGGGGTGATATCGGCACTAAGTGAAAAACACGGAAAATTACAGGGCAGTGCACAAACTCAATGTCAAAATATCCAACTATACACCATACATGCTTCATATTTAACATCTTTTTGAGAAAAGATTTAAAATCAAATTACTTACCAATGAAACATATTACACCTTTATAGCAACTATTTCCAGAAAAACTTAGCTCTTAATAATAGTAATACCGGATTTTCAAATCTGAGAATATGAACTGCGATACTGAATTTAAAATAATAAATATGAATCAAGATGTACAATTATTAAGTTGCATGAATACACATCGAAACATGTAACTTTTAAATCAAATAAATACCAAAATTGTGTTAAAATTCTGCAAACATGAATCTCGATATTAGTGGAATCCAACATAGTTCCAAGTAAATTTGTCAAAACAGAGGAATTAAATTGATGGAATTGCCACATGGCAGAAGAATCACACGCATGCAAACATCTTGTTAACAAAATTTACACTTCAGATTGCGGAGCTAGTCCAGGAAACTTCATGAAATTTGCAGAAAAATCACTTGGCGTTCCTAGTTTTTAGAACCAGAAGATAAAAAAATTTAAAAAAAAAAAAACGGAATTCCAGGATTACAATTACCCTTGATATTTAAGTTGGGAAGAGAAAGATAAAATTGCAAAAAGCAAGCGACCAAATTTCCAAAATAAGATAAATTTTTTTAAAATAAATAATCTTGCAAATAAAATTTAAAATAAGTGTAAAAATACTTGAAAGAATTTTTTTTAAATAATATATGATGAATATGAAAGACTTGGTAACATAACAAGCTATTAAAAAAAATTAGTAATTGGAAATTCTTCTTAGCTTTAACTTAAGAAAGGCTCAGTGAGAAGATTAAATTGATCATAGCAGTCAACCTAAGTTACTAGCTCTCAAAAAATTAACCTTTTATCATCATAGCCTTTAAATAATTTTCATACCAGCACCTCAAAAATAATGAAAATTTACACTTTTCATATAATTGTTTGCAAAACTGTAAAAAATAAATACATAAAGTAAAATTTATGGAATTACTGACATCCATTGCTATTAATAGTGTTACATACCAGGGATCTGTTTAGAAGAAATTTGGGCCTGCACAAAATATCTTTTCATAAAAACGGACACTTCACAAATTTATTTATCTTCATTATTGTTTTGTTAATCGAATAAACCCTTTCCAGGGCAGAAAACAAGCAAGATGTAAACAAATTTAGTTTTGTCTTCGGCAGACGATTCTTTCATCATTCGTCCGAAATGAATATTCTGCGTTCAGGAGTATAGGCTAAATACCAAATATTTGCATTAGAAGCAGCAATTGCTGTTTATTTTTGAAAATTTAATTTTTTTATTATAATTTTACAGTTCCGAGCATAATCTTGCATCTACTTAGAATTTCAAAACTCCTTGAAAAACTTTTTTGCAATAACCGGACCCTATTTGCACAAATTCATAAAAGCGGGGTCCGCTTTTATGAATTTGTGCTTGAAAGAATGTGAGCGATTTTTTCACAATTTCACGAAAAACGGACCTTTCACAAAATGTCTAGATAGACCCCTCCCTGCATACATACTGCTTCCACAATAGGAAACCAAAAAGGCCTAAACATTAAATGAAAATGAAGAATTTGTTCGACAAAATGGCTGAAACTTGCACTGCAAATCATTAACATAAATGGCAGAGGGGTTTAAAATGGACCGCTTTGTTTCTATCACAATATTGACTCATATTTTTATACTTTTTGATAAAAATGCATGCACATTTGACACAAAACCATTCAATTGATATACAATTTTCCATTTAAAATTTTACAGCTTAATTCCCCCCTCTTTAGTTGTTTAACTTTCTAATGTGTTAGCATTGTGCTAACACATTAGAAAGTGAGTCCCATTATTCTAAGAAATATTATTACACAAGAAATAAAGGTAGCATAGACAGAGATAGCAGGGGTCTGTCTAGGTTTTTCTGAAAGGTACCTATTTTGTGAAAATTTAGACATAAATTTTGAAAAATGTCAATTAAAAATCATATTAAAAAAATCAACACAAAAACATGGTAAAAATATAGATTTATTGTTTCTTAAGGGATACAAAAATACAATTTTAAGAAAAAGTATTTTGTGAAACTACCATTTTACCTAAAATTAAATTTTATGAAGGTACCGCTAAACGGTAGTAAATTCGGCCTAGACAGATCCCTGGATAGTGATAAGTTTAAAAAGGATGCTTTTATTTTGCTAAGTGGAATCTATTATGGAACCCATGTAAAAACAAAACTTTAAATTTCAAAGTATTTTGAGATGTATTTCTTTTTCCCCCAAGGGAATAGTTAAAGATAAAACTAAACCTTGATCACTATATTGGAATGAACAGTTCAGTGCATACTAAAATAACATTGCATCAATGCAATAAATCAAATGATAACATAATGAATGATTCAGTTGTGATCATGGAAGATCATACTCAAGTACATTGACTGTATTAAAAAGAGAGAGTGAAGCTAGCATTTTGAGAGGAATTAAAAAAATAAATACACCTAAAACAGCAACTAAAAAATTAGCTTTACTTCTTTTAAACAAAAGACAGAACATTCTTTCACTAAAAATTTTAAGTTAAATTTAACTCTGATTTATGCTTAGAGTTCTGAATTTACAAACATATTGCTAACTATAAATAGCAATATTTTTTAAAACTACACAGGATGTAATCAAAAAAATTATATATATGTACAATTGCTATTTTTTACCACTAAATTAGAATTTAGTTTGAAGATCTATTTTTTATTGTTCTGTAAAGCTTAACTCTTTTCACTTTCATTTTAACAGCCTTCTATCAACTATTTATTTTTTAAAGATTGTTTACTTCACCTGGTTTATAATCAGCATATTGTTCTCATTAGCTTTGAAATAAATAGATAATGGTTTGAATTAAATATGTGAACTAACACAACCTTCTTACCAATCCCTACTTAAAAGCTCATATTGCATAGGTAGCGTATCTACCTCTACAAAATCAAAACTCCAATTCACTAGTATATAAGACATGTTAACTCGATTCTATGGTGGGCTTCATAGATGAAGGTTGACGTTGTCAATAACAACTCCAGCCCTCATTGGCAACCTTCGGACCAGATGTGAACACACCTACATTGGCAGTAACGCCCACTGCGATCTGTACACACCTACTTCGATGGATGGTCCACCGGAACAGTTGACTTGCTACTTGTGACTGTGCCATTATCTACCTCCTGTTGCTCCTCTGATCGCACACAACATCAACCTGCATACACCCAGCTGCTAAAGGCAACACGGAAGCGACTAGGACCATGATCTGAATACAGCCTTCATGAGTAATGTTTAAAACCCGGTGACCCTAATCCAGCTCTGTTACAAATGCAGCAACTAGTGGTATCTATGTATCGAATTCTATCACAGCTATAATTCTGGTGGGAGAGTACTGTAGCGTATCTACCACTACAAAATTACAACTCCAATTCACTAGTATATAAGACATGTTAACTCGACTCTATGTCGGGGTACCTTTTCATAGATGACGGTTGACATGG